GTTGGGGATGTTATAATAAGTCCCTGAGACTCCTGAATAGTGTAGTGGACATTTCCGATGTGAAAAGTCATTCTAACACAAGTTACGCTGCCATCTCCCTGTCGGTAGGTGTCATTGCCTCCCAGTCTGATCATTTTGGGGGGCCTGTTTGGAGGAACATTAGTTTTATAATTCCCTTAGTGCCCTTACCCACTGGCCTCTCTCTTCCTGCGCGGGAGTGTGCATGTGGCCCCTCACACCATCCTCTGATCCACCTCAGGTTCCTAGGAAAGACACCTCTTTCTCAGGAAGAGGAGGTGGTAACAAAATTTCTAAGGCTAGCTTTAAATGTAAAAAAGATCACCTTTCTCCAGTTATCCTAATCATAGAATGGAGGAAAGGCACAGTTACATACAACCCAGAACTTGTAGAATTCTGCAGAATGAATGTATATTGAAGTAGTCTCCTGATTTACACATGCAGGAAGAATAAATTTCAATAATGTGAGACACCGCTTGTGGCTTTGTGGTTTACTTCGCAGGTATCCTTGTTGTCTCTCCTTTGTGTCTGTCACGGCTCTGTAAGTTGGTAGTTCCTGGAGCAGCTTCTGTTTAACTTTATTTGGCAATCTGGACACAGCTACTGATTTGCAGATAGACTTTTTTCCTTGACCTGGCTCCCGGCTGACCCTCTCCAGGAAGTCTTCCCTGATGAAGGATGTGAAAAGGAACTTAGGGGCTGAGGATGCACATGTGAGGCTGGGTGACTCTGTGTGTGTGTCTGGGTAGACTGCATGCGTGCATGTTTGTGACAGTGTGCTGGCATAATGACCATGTGGGAGTGTGTATGACAATGTTGGTGACTAAATTAACTTGTTTTAGCAGCTAGGGGTCCAGCAGACGCCAGAGCACACTCAACCTGGGAAGAGTTCTGAAAAGGGACTCATTCTACAGGCACAAGCCCTGGTGATGCTTGATTGCTGATCAAGAGGGTGACAGTTTGGCAACCTGCTTCTGGAAAGATTACAGCCCAGAAAACCCTGTGGGGAAGGTCTCTGTCATACCAGGTTGTGCAAGCTCAAGACCACTGGACTGCACTTAACATTTCTGAAGGTGTGGCTGCTTATTTACAAGGAGTGGTGCAGTACCCTGGGTCTAGCAGCAGTGGGAGCCTTTACAATTCCTGGACCAAAATGAAGAGGGAGAAGAGGACATCGGAGAGCTCCTGATAAGACCCTTGCCCTTTGGCTAAAGGATGCAGTCAGCCATGGCAACCTGATGGGAAGGAAGCAGAGGGTACTGACGTGCCTGCCTGTCAGTCTCCTGCTGGGCTTCTCATTGGCCAAACCCAACAGGAAGTCAGGGAACAAAGGAGCCATTGATACTGTCCACACAGGTCAGCCTGCCCAGTCAGTGCACAGGGAGGGAGCGAAGAGTGGAGAATCGCTGGAGAGGCCAGCATGTCACTAACTTCCTGGGGGTGGAGGATGGTGTATCTTCCATTCCCTAAAGTTTACGGGCTCCCTAAAGGTTCTTCCCCCTCTGGAATTTCCCCTATTCCCCAGAGGTCTGAAGGGTGGGAGGGGTAGATGTGGGGAGAGCACTGTGCAGTTGGGGTGGGAGATGGGGGACAAGACTTTTCCTCTCAGCCTCTTATTCCCATTTCTGATTTCTGCCTCTCTTGGTATCTTACATGGTTGCAGAAACTGTCCATGGCAAGAGCAACATCAGCCAGAGTCAGTTTTTCTCACACCAGGAAATACTGTGTCACCCCCAAACACACCCACAGGCACGCCTGTTGTCACCACGGTCCACTGACATGGTTACCGCAGCCATGGCTAGTATCAAAACATGTACATCGATAAAATAATACATACTGGTACACTGCTATACTGTCATAGCCATACATACATGTCATTTTACGGTGACAAATGTCACAGTAAAACAAGCTATTTTACTGTCACATGGTAAACATGTTATATTATGTCAGCCCTGGAGTCAGTTTACTTGTCCTCTCTGACCTCAGTTTCCTCATCTATAAAATGGGGATGATAATACTTCAAGGAGCCCTAGGTCTGCATCTGTAAAGGTTACAGACTCGAAACCTTGCGGGGCAGTTCTGTCCTCTTCTCTGTCTCCTTCTCTGTCCTCTTGGGCCACTATGAGTTAGAACTGACTTTATAACAAGGGGTTAATACTCTTATGGAACTGTGAGGATGAAATGAGATAATGATCAAGATCTTAACCCAAAGAAGAATGTTACCGAAGTGTACTTATGGAAATGATTTAATGTTATATTTTGATGTGTATATTCTCAACAACAAAAAACCAGCACGATGCCTGGAGTAAAGCACTTCAGAAATGGTAGCTGTTACTGTGAATTCCCATCTTGCATGTCCATACCCCCGTGTTTTATTCTGATCAGCAGTGAGCACACACTGCAGCACAGGCCAGCCAGCCACCCTTGGGCTCGCACACCCATCCCAGCAGCACGCATGCCCTCTCCCAGACGCTCCTGCTGCTAGCACGTGTTTGCTCAGACCAGTGCCTTCTGCCCAGAATGTTTTTTCTACAGACATCAGTATGGCTTGCTTCCCACTACCTTTAGGAAATCTTTGCTCAATCAAATGTCACCTTCTCAGTGGAGCCCGGTCTGACTTGTACAAACTGCAAACTCCAGCACTTCCAATCCCTTACCCTGCTGTCTAACAACACAATGCCACTGAGTCAGAACCAACTCAGAGCTGACTCTGCAGTGGATTTTCAGGGCAGTAAATTGCATGGGAGGAGACTTCCCGTTTTCTGAGGATCAATTGGGGGGCTCGAGCCATCTGCCTTTGGGTTGGTAGCACAACTCCCTACTATATTAGGCCATTAAAGCGTCCAATTTTACTGATATTTTAGGACCATATAGTTCACTCATCTTCTGTCTGCCCCAGTTAGAATGTAATTTTATGAGGGGAGGGAATTGGGTCTATTTTGTTAAACTGATGCATTCCTAGTGCCTAGAATGGCATCTGGTGCATGTTGGACTGAATAGTGTCAATGTACAAGTTCACATGGTTTCTGGCTGTCTCATCCTCTGAAACAAACACATCCAGGTAAATACATTTCCCATCCCGGTAACCTATACCCCCTGTGAGCAGCCTCTGATACTCGAATCAGATGGGACAAAATTGTTTGGGCCTCATGAGCATGAGGAGTTGCTTTCCGTTGATAAGTCTCTCCATCCATCCTTACAGTTTTGAGCCCAATGGTAGGGGCTGGGGGTAATCACACTGGTGGGAGAGCTGGCTCACCATGGTGACCTGGGGCCTCCTCTGCAGCCTGTTTTTACCTCCTTGCCTGGAACCATCAAAGTCACCACTTCAGAGGCCCCTAATGAGGCTGAGTATGTTAAGGGCTTTGCAATTTCTGGATCAAAGAGATTGGGCAAACATTGGGCAGCGTCCGCTGGTGACTGGCTGATGCCCTCAGGTAACAGCTCTCTGGGAGCTTGCCACTGACACCAGCTCCCAGACAGCCCCAAGTGGCCCCTCTGGGTTTGGGAAAGAGATCTTGCCTTTCCAGGGAACCTGCTTGAAGAGCCAGAGCATGCCTTGGAAGAGCTTCAGTCTCCCCATCAGCACTTGGGGAGAGGGAGAGAGCTGGGGGGTTGAGAGAACCCCTCCCAGGCACTAAGTCAGGCTTGCTCAGGTTCTAGTTCTGGGAGACCCTGGAAGTTCCCTAGGCTTAGCCTCCATTTCTGGAGGGGCCTCCAGCCCACATTCCTTTCCCAGCTGCTCCTGGATAGAGCTGGGGTCTAGCACCCTGACCTGGAGTCAGGCTGGGTCTCACGTCCTTAGGGCTTCAGGTAGAACTACTAAAGTGCTTACTCCTTACCAGGACAGTCCTGCTCTTGCTGAGTCAACATGTCAGTGTGGGTGCAGGTTACATGTGTGGATGTGAGCTCCCAGCACACAGCTGTCAGACAGGGGCTGTGTTGAGGGAGAAAGCAAGAGAAGGAGGGGCCATTCCCCAGACACAACCCAAACCTGATACCTCTCTACCTGGAGTGCCTGTACCCACAGTGTGAGCCACACTCGGGCTGGAGGAGACAGTGCAGGCCCCACAGCTACAGACAGTCCTTCCCCAGGACAAAGCATGGTGCTGTGCTCTGTGTAGATGAACTTTATTGGCAGGTTCTTCAAGTGCAAAACGGTAGCAAATCCAGAGGGCCGGAGAGGAGGTGGGGGCATGGCTCACACCCACTCAATGAGGACCCTGTAACCAGGTCAAGACAGCACTTGGCTGAGGCCATTTTGGCCTAGTACCCTCCAGAGAACAAGCTCCCTGGCAGGAAGGAGCCTCATGACACAGGGAAAGGGAGCAACACCTCAGAAAGGGCACACATAGGTCCTTCCCCAGGCTGTCCAGTGCACACCTAGACCCCTCAAGATGAAGATATCACAGCTTGAGGCGGTGGTGTTAGGGGACTGGGCTAAAGTCAGCTACCTGCCCGATGCCTACACCCCCTCCCAGTGACTAAACAAGTTAGACCACCGACCCTGTTAGTGACCCAACCTGACCTAAAATGAGTAGTCCTATAACATATCATGTTTTAGCTATATATGGGCTACAGGCCCTCAGCGGTGGCTGCTAGGATCACTCTCGGCTGGCCCTAGCCAAAAAAAAAATAGACCCTATTGGCCTTGGAAATCAACCCAAGATGCTGCGCACTGCAGCTACTATTCCAAACTTGCTTTGTTTCCTGAAGATGATTGGCCTCAAAGGCAAATGCCTCCAGCATCCATAATTATACGGCCCAATAACCAGGGGGTCCTTTTATTAAGGATTCTGGCATGGCTGAGCCCACAGGGGACTCCCTTGAGGAGTCTGGTCTGTTTAACTGAAGGCCCCACCCTGCAGCTGAGAAGTGCCACCTCCTGCCACAAGCTGTCCGTCACTGGTCCTGTCCTTCACACACTCCTGGAGACCCCACATAATCTGGTGGGGACCAGCCCCTTTAAGCCAGGGTCTGAGTCAGTTACAAGGAAGCCAAGTTGGGTAGGAGTGGGCCCGGGCCAGAAGAGGCTGCACCGGGGTTATATAGTAACTGACAGTAGCAGGCACAACTCCATCAGGTCCCGGAGGGTGCCAGGCGAGGGCAGCAGCAGTGGCTGGGCCTTGCTTGGCCAGCGCCTGTAGTGCCAGTGTGGCAATGAGGTCTAGCGTCTGGCGGCGCTCGTGGCTCATGAGGCACACGGTACTCTCATTCACCACGCGGTGCAGCATCACCAGGCAGGCGTAGCGGCGGGCGGCATCTGCCCCGCCAAAGTGGGCCTCCAGGTAGCGCTCCAGAGTGCGCTGCTGCTCGGCCAGGTCCGGGAAGTCGATGAAGAAACGGGAGCACATGTAGCGTTGCAGGGCTCGGACGTCAGTGCTGGGCTGCGGCCGGAAGCCCCGCACCAGGAGGTGGCAGTACTTGAGGAGGCCACCACCGCGGATGTTCTCAGGGCTGCGAGTGGCGATGACACGGTGCCGCAGGTGCTCCAGGGCCTCAGCAAAGTCGCCATACAGGCTCTCGCCTGTCACCGTGGGGTGGAAGGCCTCAGACATGGGTGCAGAGGAGCACTGGCTGAAAAGCAGCAGGGAGTCCAGGATGATCTGGAAGGAGTCCACGCTGAACTCAAACTGGCGCCTCACCGAGTCCACAAACTTGAGTTCCACGTTCTTGCCGGTCTTGTTGGACAGTGAAATGAGGCTCCAGTTATCTTTGTCCGTGCTCACTTTGACCAGCTTCTGCACATAGGCCTCCTTGAGGGTCATCGGGGTGATCTTGGCCCGGCTCACACCAGCCGGCAGGAAGTCCAGCAGGCAGGCCAACACTACCTCCTTGGTCAGCTGGAAGGATGCCTCGCTGCGCAGGTCCACACGGAACACCAGGTCCAGGTCCTTGTAGCCCAGCCCACTCTCGGGGTGCAGCACATGGCTGGCGGCTGAGCCATGTAGGCGCACACTGTGCACCCGCAGCCCCTTTTCCTCCAGGCTGCTGCGAACGACCTGTGGAGGAGAGGACAGAAGGGGGGGGGGGTCAGAGCCTGTGACTGGGTCCACGGCCTCCTCGGTCACGCTCACTGCCAGCCCAGTCATTGCTCATCATGACCAGTTGTCGGGCCACTGGGAAGTCATTCAACTCTGAGCTTCATCTGGAGAATGGTCCATTTGGAGGAATGACTCAGATCAAACAACAGTAATAGCAACCAAACAAAAAAATTCAGCACCAAGTGTTCATCTAAGATACAGATAGCAACTCACTTAATCTTCACAACTACCCTAAAAATAACCACGAAACACAACTTAAAACTCATCACCACTGAGTTGGAACTGACTCAGATCCTTCAATGGGTTTTCCCTGGGCTGTAAATTGTAAGCGAGGAGATTGTTCATCTTGTGGTTGGTGGACTGGATGGAACTGCCAGAGAGGCACAGCTTTTGAGTTAGCAGTGCAATTCACTATGTACTAGGCCACCAGAGCCCACCTATAATGTCTGTAAGATGGAGAAAATGAGAGCACAGAGACGAAGTAATTGGTCCAAGGTCACACAGCTGGTGAATACAGAGCTGAAAACTCAATTCAGAGTCCACATCCGAGGCAGTCTGCTAAAATCCTCTGCTCTCAGGCTGACTCATAGCAACCCAACAGGACAGAGCAGAACTGCCCCAAAGGGTTTCCAAGGCTATATATCTTTACAGAAGCAGATGGCCATGTCTTTCTTCTGAGGAGCATCTACTTATGACTGTGACACATTCATCCTTACAAGGGACCTGGTGTGGCAAATACTATTATATTCATTAAACCAAACCCACTACCATCTATCTAGTCAGCTCTGACTCACAGTAACCCTTCATGGGATTTCTGAGTCTATAAATCTTTATGGGAGGAGACTACCCAACTTTCTTCTGGGGGGTGGCTGGTGGATTCAAACTCATCTTTCAGTTAGTAGTCTGGGGAGCCCCCAGGGTTCCTATGCAGATGTGGAAGCTGAAGCTTAGAATATGGAATATTATAATATTGATATTTTATAATATTATAATATTGGAATGCCCAAGGCTCAGAGTGGAAATTACACAGAAATGGCAGGGCTGGGAGTTAAAACCCAGGCCCTTTCCACCCCTGGGAAAGAGGACAGGTAAAAGACTTCAGGAAAACTCAGGAGCCAAGGTCTGAGGACACAGGAACAGGACAGACAAATCCAGTCACCTTGAACTTGCTTCGTTAGCCAGAGGCACCAGGGGAGAACAGTGAAGCTGGGGGCTGACGTGCAGTGCTCTCAGCAACCCCAAAGTACATTACACACAGCCTGAAAGTGACCAGGCAGCATTCCTACCCGAGCAACAATGCAACCCCGCCTTGCTGCCAAGTCAGCGCCTGGCCAGGCTGTCCTCGCCTCGCAGGGAATTACTGCAAAGAATGCACTGAAGTGCTGAGGAGGCAAGCGCAATGGGGCAATCTGAGGCGGGCGGTGCCCTCCAGGAAGGCTTCCGGGAAAGAAGGAGGAGGACTCTGTGTTGGGCACAGTATCTGTAGCCCCACAGCATCAGGGCTACAGGGGAAAGAGCCAGCCTTCAGGGACCTGGTAGACGTAGAGAGGACAAAGTGGGCTGGGGTTAACACAGGCCTGGTACCTATGGGGCACTGGTACTTTTCACCAGGACCTGTGGGGAGGCTTTTTGACCTTCATTTTACAGATGGGGAAACTGAGGCTCACAGGAGTGAAGTCATCTGCCAAAGATAAGGCAGAAATGCCCTCAAACCCAGATACGGTGGTCTCTACAATCAGGCTTTAGTAGAGGCAGACTAGAAACTCAGTTCTAATCCTTTCTTTCAAATTTTCAAAGTGGAGGCAACTTTTAAGTCACTGAAGCTCCAATGTGGAGCAGGTGGGGAGCAGGGAGGTGGGAGTTGTGGTTGCCTTAGTCAGACAGCAGAGGAGGCCAACTGCTACAGTCTAGTCTGTAGACTTCTACCTCATGCCAGGCCAGCTGGCAGCACGCTCATGTAGGCTAAGGAGAGAAGTGGGTCAAAGACTTTGGCCCAAGGACTGTGTTAGACCTGCAGAGTAGAGCAGAACCCCTAAGTCCCATCAGAGCTGACCGAGTCATACTCAGTGCCAGCTCCTGGTCCCAACTGGTGCCCACCTCAGGGCATGGCATCTGGCCTAGTAAGTAGGTAGCAGTACTCTTGTTAAATTGCCTGTGTCAGGGCCATGGGACCAGCTGTGTCAGCCAGCCAGCAGCTGTTGTCTTTTTTCTCAGGTGTGACTACAGCCAATTTGACTAGAAGTCCCTAGATACCACCACACCCAGGAACTTCAGGGAAGGTTAGAATCTCCTGAATCAAACTTTCCAACCATGCAGGGGACAGAGACTATGCCCTCCTTTTCCCCATGCCAAGGCCTTCCCCATAGCCACTCTGCTCCCAGGCCAGGTGCTGAGACCTGCAGGGAGACTATAGGTACTGCCAGCCAGCAGGTTTGCAAAACTCCTATCTCCAGTTGCCTAACGCAGGTCCTCTGGCTGCAACTGGAGCAGACGGATCTCTAGGATTGTCTAATTCAGTCATGTGGACACAGAGGAGGTAAAGTACTTGTTCAAGGTCACAGAACTTAATCAGAGAGGGGACACCTCTGCAATTGGGCCCCTTCAGCCCAGCTACCAGTGAGAACAAAAAGAGCTCTAGCTGCTCCTGTCTGAGAAGCCTCATGGGAGTGGAAAAGGAGAAAAGTTCTCATTCTCAAGCTGTAAGCTAGTCCAGAAGTGGTAAGAAGACCAAAATCAACAAGCAGTACCCCCCAAGACATATGCCCACTGCTTTTAAGATTGCCAGCTGCAGATTCCTGCCAGAAATGGGACTACCCTCCCCCCATCTCTGCTGGAAGTAGCTGTGCAGATGAGGTAAAGGTGCCTATTCCTTTTGGATTCTGGAACCGGAAAAGGCATTGAAGAGGAATCCAACCCTTTTCCTCACTGAACAGATGGGGACACTGGATCCAGCAAAATGAATCAACAACAGTCTAGGCCCAGAACCTCTAAGTCCATCTCAGAACTCTGCCATCCACTCCCCCTACAGCTGACAGCTCCCTGCTTTGTGACGGTGTTGACCCTATTTTGGAAGGACCTGGGACCACTATCTGACTTAAAATCAGCTCTTATTTCCCTGAAGCCCCCTTTCCCCCGTGAGTTGGTAGCATTCTGAGAGCAGGAAGGCTGGGTTCCATTCACATCTGTGCCCCTAGTGCCCTGAACCAGGAGCTCTGGGAACACAGTGGTTAAGTACTGATTTTAACCACAAGGTCAGTGGTTTGAATGCTCCATAAGAGACAAGTGTGACAGTCTGGTCTCATAAAAAAAGATGACAACCTTAGAAACTCTACAGGAATTTCTACTCTTGTCTTATCTGAAAAAACAAACAACAAACCTCATTGCCTTAAAGTCAAACTGACTCATAGCTGACCTTCCAGAGGGTTTTCAGAGGCTATTAATTGCATAGGAAGAGATTGCCCATCTTTTCCCCTCAAAGAAGGGCAGCTGGTGGATTTGAAACAGTCTACCTTTGGAATAATAGTATAACTCCTTATCCACTAGGCCACCAGAGCTCTCTTATGCTACCCTGCTTTTGTTAAGTGCCGTGGAGTCGATCATTGCTCTTAGTGCCTCTACGAAAAACATAACTGAATGAACTCTGTCCTATCCTGAACTGCAATCCTTGTCTTCCCCGACAGATTTGAGTCCACTGCCACAGGTATCATTCTATCTCATTGAGGGTCTTCTTTTCCTTCACTATCCCTCCACCATGCTTGGAAGCATGGTGCCCTTTGCCAAGGAATAGTGTCTTCTAACAACAAGTCCAAAATATATTAGATGAAGCGTCACCAACTTTGATTACTACCAAAGTGCATTCTGGTTGCACTTCCTCCACCTCTGCCCTATAGGGTCTCTGAATTGGAGCTGGCTTGGTGTTAATGGGTTAGTCCCTTGAACAGGACCTGGCACACAGGCATCAATAGTAAAGGCAGTGTGTAGCAAACTTCCAAGGGCAAACACTTCCTCTCTAGGGAGCCCCATGTCTCTGTAGAGAGGAACTGTCACACTGGGCTCCACTGACTGCCTCCTAGTCCCATACTTGGCTGTCACATTCCTGGGGCCCTATGGTTGGAATCGGTTTCCTAGTCACCCAGATGACAGCGGCAGCCCAGGAATGCCGTGTCTGTCGAGTACCACTGAGGCTTCAGGTGAGTCAGCCCTGGAGAATTTGCCCCTAACCCCTCCCATTCCTTATGAGGGAGGGCAAAGTAATCCCCCAGCAAGCATCTGCCCCCTCTGCTAGGGCTAAAATAGGAGGAGGCAGGGCCTGCTTCAGCTAGCTGGTGTGTCAGCCTCTTCAGAAAGTCCACTTGCTGGCAGGAATCTTCCAGAATTGTGACTGGATTTTCTGGTTTCTTCTATCATCAGGGGATTCCTCTAAGACTTAGTAGTTGAATCTTGGAAACTGGAGAAATGGGAAAAGGTGCAGAGGCCTAAAACCCACAGCAGCCTGCGCTTGGGATGACCCAAGAGTCCCTTGGTTTCATTTTCACCTCATTAGGTATTATTAGGTAGCCTATGCCTCTCTTGGGGCCTCAGCTTCTCCACCTATAAAATGGGTACGGTAATTACCATAACCTGGTGTTTCAGGGCATAACAATGTCTGGACTACAGAGATGAAAGAGCAGCTTGGGTCAGGCAAAAGAAAGATTTTTTTTGCTAGTTTTTCAGGAGAAAGATAGGGCTTTGATACCTGAATCTGGGAGAGTGGGGAACACTTAATTTTGTCTTGGGGAATGATACACTGCACCTGGTCTAGTGCTTAATTCATCCCTTTATCACACAACCCAGGCTGAGAGGACAACCCTTCTAGGATTTCCTGGCCTTTCCTCCTTCCAGGGGTTTCTTGAGCCACAGGCGAGAGCACAAGGGCAGATTAAGTCTCTCTCACCTTCAGATCTGTGGTTGGAATAAAAAGAGCTGTTCTGAATTCAGGAATGCATATTTTTTGGCCTCTGCAAATAAATCTCTCCCTTATGTCCTTCTTCTTTCACAGCCAGGTCAGAGTGAGTGGTCTGAGGGGAATTGAGGATTCCCCAAAAAGGGGGTGGGAGAAGCAGAAAATCCAAGTGGGCTGGGATTCTGAGATGCTGGGGCAAAAGCGCTGCACACCATGTCCCTCTCTGAGCTTGTAATCCCAGCTGTCCAGAGGGCAGAATGAGTGTCCCTTCCAGCTCTAAGAGCTTCAGGAAAGAGCCCCACACCCCTTCCAGCGCCCTCTCACCTGCACAATCTGCCGGGGCTGCACGCTCAGCGTGGGGAAGTTGCCGCGCCCGTGAATCGGAATTGGCTCGCTCAGCAGCGCATCCAGCCGCTTCACCTGCGGCCAGGTGAGCCCGCTAAGGTGCCGTTCGCGGGAGGCCGATGAAGCCTCAGGGTCGGGGCCGCCGCCTGCCGGGGAGACCGTGGCCACTGTCGAAGCCACAGCCGTCCCCACCTGCGCAGCCGCCCCGTCCGGGCGCGCAGCTCCGCTCTCCGACGGCATCATCCGCCCAGCCCTGATGGAAGAAACCCAGGGGGTGGTTGAGGGCAGGGGGAGCGGCTCAGCCGGGGCCGGGACTGGGGCCGGGGGGGAGGGGCGGGCGGATGCAGGGACGGCGAGGCAAACCCAGGGCGCAACTCCGGTCACGACGATGACCCTAGACCTAGCTGCCCGGTGCCCACTGCGCTCTTAAAGCCCTGAGGCCACGTGCCGATTGGCCTGGGCCGCCGTCAGGGGCTGCCCCGCCTCCTAACACCCCTGACATTGGTCAGTAGAGTTTTGCACGTGAATCACCGGTGGCTAGAGTGCTTTCCATTGGCTGGAAGGCACACCCCTGCCCCGCCCTCCTGATTGGGCCGAATTCCCTCTGGTCTTTAAAGAACTTTTGTCCGCTGTGGTTGACGTGTAGGGGCAGCGCCCTCTAAGGGTAGCTGGAAGGAAAGTGACCCACGGAGTTCCCAGAAGTTTTTACAGCACCACTGCATGGTTCAAAATTGGGAAGGGCGTACACCAGGGATGCATCCTATCTCCATACCTTTTCAACCTATATGCAGAACAGATTATCCGG